AAATATATGGAAATCAGTGTTTTTATATCATTATTGTGGTATAAGACTACTCCAGGCATTAGCATAAGTGGTTTAATAGCTTTACTATTATGGATGAGGAAGGATAGTGGTAAAAATTAGGTGGAAATCACTTTTCAGTTTAACATGCAAAACAACATATGATGTCAATAAAGCCTTCTTCAGAAAATGTCAACTTAGATTGAAGATCTAGTTAAAGCGTAAAGCTCCATTAAAATTAAACTTGCCAACTAGAAACTGTCCAATCTGGAAGAAACTGTGAAATATGACTTTCTGATAAAAAACCATCTTTACATGGATTCCAAAAGTGGGGTCTTGTTTCCTTACAAACTAATTACCCCTAAATGAGCTAACACTGAGATTTACAATTTATAAGACGGAGAAACCCAAATCTTGACCCATAAAGATGCTAATATCTGCTGCTCACCAGCAGCTTCTGTCAATATGTGCTGCATAATGACATTTTGGTCAATGATGGACTGCATATACAACAGTGGTATAATAAGATTACAGTATGGTATTTTTACTGTACCTCTTCTATGCTTAGATATGTTTAGGTACACAAATACCATTGTCTTACAATTGCCTACAGTATTCAGTACAGTAACATGCTGTACGTAACCTAGGAGCAATTGGCTATACTATATAGCTTAGGTGTGTAGTAGGCTATGCCATCCGGGTTTGTGTAAGTACACCCTATGGTTCCATAACTACAAAGTCACCTAATGACACATTTCTCAGACATATCCCTGTCTTTAAGCGACGCATGGCTGCGTTTATTCCTTTGACTGGTGTTAGCTTCCTGTGTTTGCTCCAAATCCATTTAGGTCCATTGTATAGAGGAAAGAAGAGTTTTGTTTAAACCCTCTTTAAAATCCCTCATCTGCCACATTTTTACATCCACTTGGTTAGAAAACATAAATAAGCAGATGAAGCAAAAATGTTAAAGCATGTGTGGGGGTAAAGTAGCAAGTAAATACTAGATAACATTCAGAAGGCAACCCAATTCTTTTTCTGTTTAAAGTTCCAATGGTTCTGGGTCTCTATATAAGAATTTTTAAAAGAAATGAAAGCTAGAAAATGCTATTGTTCAGATTGAGCAGAGTACACAAAATAGTTAAGATAGCAATATGACTGGGTTTTGATCAGGTTTCAGGTACCATTCACACAGTGTCATATTAGAGGCTTCTTATTACTGGTGCTCTTCAGTACAGCAGTAAGAGTTTTCTACTTAGTCATCAGGTATCCAATAACAATGACAACCATAACAATAAAACAAAACAAAGAATCCTTGTCTTTAGATCAAATATCAGCAAGAGGTATCACAAGTAGATTATTAATTCATTCTAGAAGAAAACTACACTACAAACATCATTAAAAGATCAGTTCACAGACCATTTCAAAGACATTGAAGTCAACACTTTAAGAAATACTGCTTGGCTCAGAGGAGTACTAACAATATCTGGTTTTCTCACATTACCTGAGGTGTAATTTGCTGCTGCATGCTTGATCTCATGTTGATGCCAACAGGAGCAGTTGCTGCAAATTGATTTAAGATAGCTTGCCGATTTTGGTGTATCAACTAGAGAAAAATGGAAACAATGAGATATCATATTTCTACACACCAACATAGCCCAGGCTTTATACAGTAACACAAACTTTCTGTTGATTACTAAAAGTGTGCCAGGTTTAGTAAGATTATTTCCCACATTTATTTTTCAAAAGGCCGGCAACTCCCAACATTTATCAAATATTTATTGCCTTCAGAACACTAAGTGTGGCAGAGCATATAAAAGGAGAATATACACATATGTACATACATGAATGTATATATATGCACACATCTGTTTATCGTACTTTTAAAAACATGTTAATATTTATTTCAGATAAGTATAGTAATGGATAAAAAAACATCAGCTCTAAGTCTTAAAATACTGTGAATTAAAAAGTATACAATAAGGGCACTTTCTACAAAGGTCTGGAAGATGAATGGAAAGTTGAGGTACTTGGAGGGTACTCTCACTTGGAGATACTTTGTCTGGTGGGTACATATTTGGGGAATATCCAGCATGATTTCATTAGCTAGAGAGAATTATGTAAGAGGCAAATGGTCTGAGAAAATGGATTATTTATTTAACTAGAAGTAATTACTTTAGACCAGCATTTCCCAAATTGGTGTTCTAAAGAACATTGTTCTGTAGGATATTAATAGATGTGCCAGGAAAATAGCATGCTGTGCTGTATTAAGTATTGGAAATGATGGGTTACGCAAGGTGAAACAGATTTATTTACTGCAGTAATTTTATGAGCCTTTAATAGGCCAAAGCACATTGTGGATCTTCAGGAAGGGGATATACTATGCAATTTATTTATCGCAAATCTTTTTTTCTGACATATAACCATTAACATCTACTTCCCAGAACAATCTTCTATAGAACACTGGTTTGGAAGATCAGTCTAGACCAGGCTTAGGGTTCCAGGTCACAGGCATGCCTTTAACGTTGTGTGGTAATAAACGAGTATTCTTGGAAGTGAGATTTTATTGTAAATAATCTATAGCTTAAAAAATTCTTCCTCAATAATTTTATATGAATAAACTGTTCAAAGAGAGAATAGTAACAGTAATATTAATACTATTTTATGTTTT